CGATTTCATTGAGAACCAAAATATAATCGTGATTTCCAGGGATATTAAATTCTCCTAGTACTCAGGAAAATACTGGACTCAAGGTAGCATATGTCTGTGGCCTGAAAGAAATACCAATTAAGTAATTCAATGATGTAATTGTAGCAATTATTCTGTTCAAGAGGTCAAACTCCAGGTCTATAGTATATATGTTTTATTAGAAAAATAAAGTTTTGAAAGAATTCAGTTTATGCAAAAGCAAAGCAAATAGGAACATTTCCATAACTAACCAGTTTGAAAGTAACTAGCTCCTGCTAGAAAAATTAAAACAACAAACTTACTAACTACATGAGAATAGGAAAGACATGCTTCCCCTCTAACTAATTTTATAAACTACATCTTAAAGGAATTTCGTGAACTCCATAGTCCATAGTCCATTTAAGCATTCATAGTCCATTCAAAACCATACCAAACATTCTGGAAATCCAAACGGCATTAGTCCTTGATGTAAAGTTCCTAGTAGGAATCCATTATGCGAAAATTTTCTTCTCTCAGTCAGCCATTCTCCATTTTCTCTCCACACTGGAATAACCCCCCTGCTTTTTCTCCCCCATTGACAACCAATCAGGAGTAAGCAAAAGCCAGTCTCTTTCCGCCTTCCTTTCCCATGGGATACAGATGCGTGTTTACCTAAGAGTATTGGAGTGTTTAGTCTCTTCACTAGTTAGTTCAGGAATTATAGGTTCTAAAGTGCTGATCAAGTTCCATTTGCGTTCATTCTGGGTAAGTATCCCCTTTCGTTTTGGGTATCCACAGAATGCCAAAGTGTTAGCCATTAATCTTAACTTCCATCTAGTTCTATTCTCAGGCTGCATCAACTGGGCTGTTAGCTGATCATTATTCTTAGGGTTGCTATTTATCACGTCAGTCCATGGATCATTTCCCACCATATCTATTTTATCTTCAATGTCTTGTATGAGGGGAGTGATAGCTATTTGGTCTAGATTTGTTAGGGTCTGGCCAGTATCTAACTTTTCAGAATTCCTTTTGGATCTAGATTTTCTTTCTTTCTTTGGTTTCCTCTCAATAAGTTTAAATAGATTATGGAAATCAGAACAATCTGTCAATTGCTATCAGCTGTGATAGGTGCCAATGAAGCCTCCATATTCCTGTTTTTAGCCTTCTTTTTAGAAGTTTTTTTCCCTTTGGACAAATCATGCAGTGAAAGTGCGGATGTAATACCTTGGTCAGTTTGTGTATTATTGTTTCTGGGTAAATTGCTTATTGCAATTAAGTTGGTTAGTGTAATTAGTAAATCATGAGATTCGAAGAGGAATTGATTTAATTAACTTCATCTCATCTAGGATATCTTTTACCCAGCAGAACAATGTGCTGATATCAGACTTATCACTTGTCTTGATTATTTTTGGCGGGGGTCCTTTTTCTATTTGGGTGCCTCCTTGTGTTAATTCCTCTATTTGTTTTAATATAAAGTCATCTACCTCCTTTCTTCCTTTCTTCTCCACCCCACTGGTGTCCAAAGCATTTTCTGCAGATGCTAGTTCCATTGCCAAGTTAGGACCAGGATCATCTTTGTTTGATTCTATTATTGTACACCTATTCTCAATTGACCAATCTAAAGTTTCATTTGTGTGTTTAATGCCCTCATTTTTGGGAGA